GCGGTTTACGTATTTTGATGAAAAAGTTTAATGAATAGTTCTTTCATGTGATAAAAGTTTTTATCTCGTAATTAAGTTATTCATATAACTTACTCTAGTTTGTGTGTCCTTTAGCCTATACTTTTTTGCAAAGCAAGTAATAATTTTTGAAGAATTATGTGATATTTAGTTGCAATGATGTTTTAATTTTTGGTTATAGAGATTATTTTCTAAGAACCTTTTGGAATCGATTTTGTTTGCAAACCTATATCACAAATCTTTCTCTGAATATGTTTTAAAAAAACATACATATAATTTTATTCTATAAACATTATTTGGGAATCATAAAAATAAATTTTGTATTCTTATGATTTGTCCGCGTAACCATAAATTGGTAACCGTAAAATATGGGTTCTAAAAGTCATTTATGAAAAACATTTAATTTTGTTTCAAAACCCATTTTTGAGAACAAAAAAAAAAAAAATCTATAAAAGGTTAACTGCGTACAAAACTTCAGTCTTTCTTGTAAATGCAAATAAAACTCAACTTTCAATTTTGCAACAAAATACCGAACTTTTATTATGTATTGTAATTTTGTCTCAACATCACTTTCCGGCCAAACCCTGCTGACATGTCCGATCGAAAATCTGATGTGGCACCGATTAAGATTGCGTGACACTCAAGATTTGCAAGTAAAACTCATTTTAGATCCTAATTTGGTCGAAAAATTAGTTACAACATCAAAGGAGTTTACTCTGGATTACAATCTTCCAAATTTGAAAACGGGATTAAGAGGTAGAAATAATAATTGTGACGTGGATTCCTACGTGTCAGCTGATGTGGCGTGGCCTATAAAATGTTGAGTGTCACACAATCTTAATCGGTGCCACGTCAAATTTCTCATCAGACATGTTAGCAGGGCTTGGCCGGAAACAGGGGCAGACGCAGACTTTAAGTACAACGGGGGCACAAACTGCGGTCAATGGTCAATGCCGAGAGTCTCAACGGTCAAATCAATACTTAACCAACTATAAAATAAAAAAGATTAATTTTGTCCACACACCTTGTTTCTTATTTATTAGCAAAGGTTGAGTCTCGCATTTGCATTTTAGGAATAGAGACACACCTGATCTAATCCCTATATATTATATACATTTATGTATAATACTTGTTTTTATGTATTTTGGGAGGGAAATGAAAATAAACAAGAAATTGAGTATAACATAAGTATAAATTCCACAACTTGAAAAATAACATACTATTGAAGGTTAAATTATTTTATAATAATTCCTTTTATTTTATGTTTTGAAATAACCTTGCATAATAATTAATAATATGTATTTTTGTTTATGTCAATATAATAATACATTTATACATACAACATACATATACTATATTACACAAAATTCTAAGGGGCCCGTGCTCCTGCGGGCCCCTAAGTACATCGTCCCTGCCGGAAAGTGATGTTGAGATAAAATTGCAATACTAATAAAAATTTGGTATTTGTTGCAAAGTTGAAAAGGTTGAATTTTATTTACAATTCCACTAAAGGTTGGAGTTTTATATGCAATTAACCCTTCTAGAAATCGTTTATGGAACTCATACAATGGGTTCCATAAACCATTATAGAACTCATAAATTAAGTTTCCAGAAACCATCTTTGAAGAAGAAAGGGTTGTAGATACCGTTTATGGAACTCATACATTTTTGTTTCATAAATCGTTTCTAAGGAAAAAATGTGTTCTATAAATTGTTTCTGGAGCTCAAATATTTTGTGATTCATAAACCATTTTTGCGATTCCCATAATATCTTCTAGAAATAATTTATTGGAGTTATAAATTTTACTTTCAATAAACTATTTGTATGAAGATTATTTGTTTTTTCAGATGGATGTTGATAAAGTGCGAATTGCTCACAACGACATTTGTGATGAGAATGTGTACAAAAGTGCCAGACAAAGATGATTTTTTTGCATCTTATGACTTCATCATATGAATCTTTTATAAATAGAGTTCATGACATTATTTTTGGTGACAAAAACACGTGTGACTACCGATTTTACTTTTTAACGGTCGGTGATAACAAAGAGCTTGCGGAATAGTGAATTTCTTGTCAATCAGATCTCCAAAATGTGTCTGTCATGTTCACAATACCTACCATATATGGTACACTACAATCAAAAGATAGTTCGAGTGCGTATAATCAGTCGATTGTACCAAGTACCAACGTACTTTTTGTATGGCTATACCGAGGATAAGGTGGATTTATGAATTTAGTTGTTGCTCAGGGTCCACCCCTATATCCATATAGTGTTGTATATCTGTTTATAAAGAACTTACACAGTCAATTGTCAACATCTCATGCGGCGAACAATGGCAAATATGTAGTATCTAACACTACAAATACAAAATCAAATCAACATGTGTCTTACGATATTTTTTTGGAATAAGTCGATTGGGGTGTGGATAGTGGGTTCGACAGGGATTCTGCTGGGAATGAGGTGAACAACAACAATAATCCTTATGGCAATGACGACATCCTATATGAGATGGATGATAACAATGACGATTCAAACTTCATTATTGCAAAGATATGCTTGTCTCATACGATGGTGAAGATGGCGGCAACAATCTTGTGTCCCCCTCAAACATGATAAGTGAGGTAAATGAGCATATTCTATGCAACTAGAAGAGTATAAGGATCCACGATATTCCACGACTTGATCTTTCTGAATGTGTTGATAATGCAAGGGATGGTTGAATGAAACTGTTGCTCATTCTAGTAGCGGTTGGATGGTTCCCAGAGGAATTTATCACAATGTTAATGTTCATCCCCCGTTGAAGAGTCATCTATGCTAAACGATGAATTTTCCAAAGGCGTTGTCATTGGTCGTAAGGAATAGTTGTTGATAATATTGGGTTTTTGTCATTTAAATCATAAAATGGAGTACCGAACACCAAGATCAAAATCTCGGTTAAAGGTTGCGTGCAAGAATAACAATTGTCCCTTATTACTTTTTGTGAATGTGTTAGGTGTATGTAGTTGGATAATTTCTAAATTTATCAATCCACATACATGTTTGGTGAACCTCAGTTATTCAGCCCCACAAAAATTGTGTTCTAATTAAGATCATTGGAACATTATTTGCACCGAAAGTTGTTGACAGGGGGTCGAGTATTGAAGCCTGAAAAATTATGAGTGACTTGGAGCGTGGACGTGGTATTATCCTTAAATACGATAAAGCTCTGAGGTAGTAAAATATCGCATGTGACTACATCCACGGAGATCACTCTAAATCCTGATGAACCTATGTCGGCGTATTTCCATATGTCCTTGAAAAGAAATCCTAGAACATCCTAAAAAATCATTTCATACGTCTGCATGATTCATCATTTAGACAATTACTGTCAGATTGCGATTGTAATTGACGTTACCCATTTGAAAGATAAGTATAAAATTGTCTTATTTGTAGCAATTACAAAGGACAAATATGAACAAATTTTTCCGTTGACATTTACTATTGGCGATAAGGAATGTCTCATGGTTGGAGAGTGGTTTATCCAAAAAAACTTCGCTCCACATTGAGATGTCTAAAAAACTTATTGATTGTTTTCTCTTCCATGTCGATTTATTGCTTTGTTCACATGCGATTAAGGCTATATAGTAATCTTTTTTTTTTTTTTCATAAAAGCTATAAATTTTACTACTTTTTTATCTTATCCATAAAAGAATTTTATATTGTGTTCCATTTATCGTTTCTTATATCTTATATGTATGTATCATTTTTAGGCAAACAAATGAATCGGTGTATGAATATGTGCACGAGTATTTGACCGGGTGATTTTTTTTTCACCGCTTACGAAAACACCCTAATCCTTTTTTGTTCCACGTGACATAACTTTTAGGTCTTGATTTACTCCCCCAACCCCTAAGAGCATCTCCAATGAATTATTAATTGTATAAACATAGAACCAATTCAGTAAAAAACATCTACAACCCTTAATGTCTAGATGGCAATCACAATGGCGTGGCTGGAAAGAGAAGGAAAAAACTCTCCTTCTACATGTGGAAGTCATGTCAGACGTGATGACTTAGTCCTCCCACTCAATTATGTATTAAAATACATAATAAAAGGAGATTTGAAGAAAACTAACGATACAAACATACATATTATAAATTTAATGGTATATATTTTGTTAAAATTATGCATTAAAATATATAATAAATATTTAATGGTATATAATTTGTTAAAATTATACCTTAAAATACAAAATAAATACCGACATTATACCATACAATATGAAGCTAAGTAGAATAATAATTTTTATTTTGTCACTCTTCAACTGTGAAACAATATGAAGCTCAATAGAATAATAATTTATATTTTGTCACTCTTCAACTGTAAATAAAATTCTTGTGCAATATATATCGTCCTATTTATAAAATTGTCATTCTACTTCATCCACGTGGAGAGAAGTCATCTATTATATAAACAACAATTGAATCCTAACCATTAGAGCATCTACAATGCATTAGGTCTAGTCTTGTATATGTGGCACGTAAATAAACCCAAGTCTCGAATGACATGGATAAAACTATGTAAAATTAACAAAACTCATTCCAATGCAAAAAGACTAGGTCTCTGCTTGGGTCTAAAATAGACTTAAGGGTAGACCGGGTCTCTTTTTCTGGCTGCCACATAAGCAGGACCCAGTCTACTTTTATTTGCATTGGAGAATATTTTTTTAGACTGGGTCTACTTATTAGGTGTCATATAATTTTTTGGGATTGAACTTAAAGCATTGTGGATGCTCTTATAGATGCTCTAAAAAAACTGAATAAAAAAAGGAAATCCTCCTAACCTAGCTGGCGCAAAACCAGGCCCATCTGAGCCCCACACTGGAAATGGTCAATCAAAGTCAGCACAATCTCAACCGTGCGATGGTCACAGAGTAAAATACAGCGATAAAAATAAAAGAAGGAAATGATTGATTTATGGTTCAGATTAGACTGCAGCAAGCTATCATAACATCAGAGCTACCACTGTTCCTCCATACTGACCCGCCTCAAATTGCGATATTATATTATGAGAATTATCAAACATTAACTGACCAAGTGCAGTACATAGAGAGAGAGAGAGAGAGAGAGAGAGAGAGAGAGAGAGAGAGAGAATGTTCTACGAGTGAATTATTGATGTGAGAAGCTAAGTTTGAAGCATCGAACTCTCCATTCTGTTCGTTATCTCTGTTTGGGGGATAAATTGAGATGGTGGGCTCTTTGCCGCCGCCGAGGTCTCTGAGTTGCAGAGCCCAGTTCAAGACGAAGCCTTTCCTCGGATTCTTGCCTCATGGAAACGCACAAGTAACGTCTTACGTTGTGTGAATTTGTGTGCTTCGTTTCTGAGTGTGTATTGATCTGTTCTTCTGCTGATTGATTAGCATACATAGAGCGAGTTTAAGAAGATGGGTTTAATCAATTGTTCAGGACATAATATTGTTGGTGCTTGTACTTTGATTTGCTTTGATTTTCCTTTAGTTTTTTTCTTACCTTATATTTTTCACTAATTAGAGACAAAGAAAGAATCTTTGTATGTGATGTTTATGATAAAGTTATTCATTAACATATCAAACTTGTATCTAATTAGAGACAAAGAAAGAATCCTCCAACCCTTTTCCTTTTTGGAATTTATTGCAACCTGGGACAGGTCTGATGAAAAGTTTCGAGGTTTTTGTGATTTTGTATTGATCCTGTTGTACGGGCCAACTTGGAGGTCATCTTGTTTACTAGTATTTTCAGTTTGTAGTTCGAGCAGTAGATTATAGTATACATGTTGGAAACATGTGCTGATAATGCTGGACACTCCCTTCTCTGTATATATTACGATCTTCTTAGGTGATGCTGGATGTGTTGTGTGAATTTAGTAGGATTAGATAATTTTTGTATATTTAAAGCATTCATTTTGCAGTCATTCTACTGGAAAATCGATCATGTGACTGCTAAGGTTACACATCAAGTTTCTGCAAGTGCAGGTTGGTTGCTTTTTGATCGCTAAGTAAATATCTACAATTAAGTAATGCACATAGCTCACTCCTTTTCTTTTGTATTTATTTTTATGTAGACTTCTCAAGAAGGCGGCCGAGGAGAAATTCCACGCCAAAGACTAAAGATTCTACACCAAGGGGTTTTTTGCCAAGAACTCAGGTCCCCACGAATACCCAGAGAAGGGATCAAAAGAAAAACAAAGAAAATGAAGGTCGTGGTACTCCAACGCCTACGGAATTCGAGAGTTCTAATGCTGATACCGAAGAGTTGAATATCGACTCTGATGAAGAGGATGCGTCCCACATTAAAATGGAGGCAAATGAATCATTATATGACGATAAAATAAGTGAATTTGACGAAAACAGACGTGTTAGTGAAGTCGATCTCGCACTTGAATCAAAAGATGCAGAAAGCTTCACCAAAAGCGAGGTTAGTGATAATGCAGGTAGATTATTTTTTAAAAAAATTATTTGATATGTAAAGAATAAAGTTTAGATGGGCTAAAAACATCAAAGGTGACAATTTGTAGGAAAAGATGACGGCGAAGGGAGATCGTGATGTTTCAGTATTTGGGAGAGTTATTGAAGAAAACCGGGTTTATGGTACAAGTAGTGAAGATTACATAGAGCAGGTTGAGAGTATTAAAAATGCCGTAGATTCATACAGAAGCCTGTCTATTAGTGAGGATATCGAGAAAGGAGATTATTTTCTAAAATTAAAGTTGGAAAGGGAAGATATTTTGCGTAAGGAGGCATTAGACAGGCTCGCCGGGGAGAATTTCAAGAAAGGGAACAAATTGTTTTACTACCCAGAGGTCATAAAACCTGGTCAAGAAGTGGAGATATATTTTAACAGAAGCTTCTCTACTCTGAAGAACGAACCGGATGTTATAATCATGGGAGCCTACAATGATTGGAAGTGGAAATCGTTCACCTTGAAGTTGAGCAAGAGCAATCTCAATGGGGATTGGTGGTCTTGCCAGCTCCATGTTCCTAAAGAAGCATACAGAATCGATTTTGTGTTCTATAATGGAGCAGATGTGTATGACAACAACGATAAGCAAGATTTTTGTATAACCGTGGAGGGTGGAATGGACATTTTTGATTTCGAGAATTTCTTGCTTGAAGAAAAACTGAGGGAACAGGAGGAGCTTGCAAGACAGACAGCTGAGAAGGAAAGGCAAGCAAAAGTACGAAAACGTATAGAAGCAGAAAGGGTAGCACGTGAAGCTGATAGAATTCAGGCCAGAGGGGAAGTTGCAAAACAGAGGGCCATGCTGCAAGAGTTGATGAAAAGGGCTGTTACAGCGATTGACGATGTCTGGTTCATAGAGCCTAGTGAATTCAAAGGCAACGATATGGTGAAGTTGTACTACAACAGGAGTTCAGGACCACTTTCTAATGCTCGGGAGATATGGATTCATGGAGGACATAATAGTTGGAAGGATGGGCTGTCCGTCGTTTCTAAGCTCGTCAAGTCCGAGAAGATTCTTGAAGACTGGTGGTACGCTGAATGTGAGTGTATTTCTACATTCTATGACTTTATTTGTTATTTTCAGCATGGCCAGTGATGTATTTTTTTGTAAACATGTAAAAATTTGAGGTTATAAGTTAAAGTTGAAAAGTTTTGGCGTACTTTGAGTTTGTCGTGAGGCCGGTTAGGTTTGCTTTGCTATCATGGTTAATTTGACTAATTTGGCTTTTGAAGCTTTTGTTGTAGGTGCTGGGATCAAGAGTTTTCACATTTCAGTTGTCAGTGTGCAATAATTTTAGATATTCTTCAATTAGTCACCTCAAATTTTAGTGTCTTATATGTAGCTCTTTTCCATCTTTACGCGGATAATTATGTTGAGTTATTATCCAAATTTTCTTCTGTTCTGTAGTTGTTGTGCCTGATGAAGCTCTTGTATTGGACTGGGTTTTTGCTGATGGGCCACCCAAGAAAGCGATTATTTATGACAACAATAGGCGCCAAGATTTTCATGCTATTGTTCCGAAATCCATACCTAATGAACTGTATTGGGTAGAAGAAGAGCAGCGTATATTTCAAAGGCTTCAGACAGAAAGGCGGTTAAAAGAAGAAGCAATGCGAGCTAAGGTCAGTTTTTTTCCTGGAAGCAAGATAAGGAAGGAATATTGAGATTTCTTACATTTTAGATCCTTTAATCTTTAGAATAACTTTTATGTGTAGAGCTTGCTCAATTGTGTTTTCGTTTTTCTCTTAGAAAAAAAAAAATCTTTTTTGTTTCTATTTTTCCTTCCGTAAAATGCTTTCTTTAACCTTTGGATTCTCCATGTTAGGCAGAAAAAACTGCACGCGTGAAAGCGGAAACAAAGGAAAGAACCTTGAAAACATTTTTGTTGTCTCAAAAGCATGTAGTTTACACTGATCCCCTTGATGTACAAGCTGGAAGCACAGTCACCTTATTTTATAATCCTGCCAACTCTGTCCTAAATGGAAAGCCTGAAATTTGGTTGAGATGTTCTTTCAATCGCTGGACTCATCGCATGGGGCCACTGCCACCTCAAAAGATGATTCCTGCTGAAAATGGCTCTCATCTTAAAGCGACGGGTGAGATTTTACCTCTGTATTCACGGTGTATATAATTTTGCATTTGTGTTTTCTTGAGAAAGTTTGTCTTGTCAACTATGTTAAGTTGTAGAATGTCGAAATCAAAACAAACATTATCAATAACAATTATAAAATCTGGATCCTGCTGCTTTTTTCTCACTCTAGTTTTTTCTCCACGTCATCTTCTCTTGCAAGGTTACTTTTAGATAGCGCTTCATAGTGTTTGGTGTGCTTTTTTTTTTTTTCCTGATTGTGCTTGGTACAGTGGTGTGCCTATTTGGTCACATCAGTATATCCTCTAAGATGGTCTTTATAGATTTTTTGGGTTGTGATCACTATATTTCCAATATTTTTAATTCTGTACCTGTGTGATATCTTCATTTTCACTCTCCAGTCTCCATCTTTGACAGTCAAGATTCCCGTGGATGCATATGTGATGGATTTTGTTTTCTCCGAGAGAGAAGATGGGGGAATTTTCGACAACAAGAATGGAATGGACTACCATATACCTATATGTGGAGGGGTTGTGAAGGAGCCCCCAATGCACATTGTACATATAGCAGTTGAAATGGCACCGATTGCGAAGGTGTGTAAGTAGCTTGATAATGCTTTCATTTTGTGGATGTCATTCACCTATGCAAATTATTTGCATCTAAAATTTAAAGCTTGATGACATGAATTTTCTTAGGGGATATACATTTTTTGTTCTAGTATTATTTTCTCTTTGTTCAGAATATTGTGAAAATTGATGTTAAATTTGTTTAGCAATTCGCAGGCTTTGTTAATGAGTACAAGCTATATCAATGTATTTTCTCATCCATCTCTATTGAAATATATATATACATGAATTTTCTTCATTCTATTTGTGTAGGTGGGTGGTCTTGGTGATGTCGTCACTAGTCTTTCCCGAGCTGTTCAGGACATGAACCACAATGTGGATGTTATCCTTCCAAAATATG